TGCATCTAGCAGCACCCCAAACCCCCCCTCTTCATACAGAGTAGATGGAAGGGAATCTTCCGAGGGAAGGCACTAGCTTGGGGGGGGGGACTTCTGCAGAAAGTGGGATTTGAGCTAAACCTTGGAGGAATTCAGCAAGCTAGGAGGTGGTGGTGACGAAGGTGAGAGTAGTCCAGGCGAGCAACAGCCACAAGGCTGGCCAGGCTTGCTGGATGGTGGAGTCTCTGGAGAGGAATCCAAGCTGGCAGGAAGGGGTCAAATTCACCAAATGGAGGAGTCACTGGAGTTTTTTGGGGTGGGGGATAGAAAATGCCATGGCCAGACCTGTGCTTGGGGAAAATCACTTTGGTAGCTGAATGGAAGACGGGTTGGAGTGGAGATAGACTCGAAGCAAGGACACCAATCGGAAAGCTTTTGCTATAGTCTAAGTGAGAGGTTTTGAGGGCCTGACCATGGTGGGTCACGTGCAGAGCAGGGAACTCGTGTGAGAGGTGAAGAAAGAAACAACAAGATTGGATACGTGTGGGGGGAGAGTGAGGAATGTGAGGAGGACACTGAGGTTGGAATCATGGATGACTGGGAGGATGGCAATAGGGAAGTTGGAAAGAGGGGCAGGTTTAGGGGAGAAGATCAGGAGTTCCATTTTGGATCTGTTGAGTTTAAGATGCCTATGGATCGTCCAATTAGAGATGTCACATGGAGCTCCCAGACAAGCAGAGGGCTGTGCCACAGAGTGTTAAAATACAAAGTAATGTTGGCCTAGCGCATAAAAGTACAAAACCAAATGCCAGGTGAGGTCCAACAGAGAGCTCGTTGTCATCGACCTGGACGGGCTTTCTGAGAAGTTCCATGAGAGCCAGGCTTTCAAGAGTGACTAGGAGGCCATCCGGCACAGGGGGATGCAGGTGGAGAGGAAATGACGGAGGGCATCTCCCCCATAGTCGGAGGTAGAAGCAGAGGCATGGCGGAAGGCCCAGGAGCCTGCTGTCCCCATATTGAGGAGGTGTGGGTCGAATGTAAAGACCAGACCATTAGAACCCGGTGGAAGAGCACCGTCATTTGCCCAGGCATAACATCGCCATGTGGGGGCACAAAAAGAAGCCAGGAGTTCATGACCAGCCGCTCTTCTTTTGTCTCCTCCACTTAGAAGTTTTCCTTGTTGAAATAGAACCGGACCTTCCTGGGATCCAAGCTGGAGTAGTGGTTACAACACCTTCGTAGGCTCTTTGCCAGGGTCTGGGGGCCACACAGGAAAACCCCTACCACTGACCTATGGAAGCAAAGAGAGAACGGGCAGAGACGCGGCAGGTCCTGTGGGCCTGGCACTGTGCCAGCGCCTTCACCTACCTCCATTTCTTGGTACTTTCCCGATACAGAATCAAGCAGGTATCTGCTCCTCTCTACCAGGGTTGGCTGACCCAGCTTCCAAGGCATAGTCTGCCTCCTGGTCCACCCACTTAGAGATCACGGTGACTTTGCAGTTCCCCAGCCCAATATCCTGCCTCCTGCCCCCATTCCTCTAGAAGGAACGGTAGAACGACCCTAGCACTGAGAAGGGCCGGTTGAGGCAGCTATCCCCGGCATTTTTACATTAAAAACAGAAGTAATTGAAATAAAAGTGTCTCCTGTTGTCCCCATCATTCACTAGCTTAGGTCAAGTGCCTGACTGCGCTTTCTTGCCACAGAGCGTGACAAGTTCTCACTGCTTCCAAAGCATGAACTCTTCGTTCAAAGCATTCCAGGTGACGTTTTCTCAGTCTTAGTGATCAGGAATTTCAGACTGTCCCAGAGAGATTTGCACAGGAGAGCTCAAGCAGATCGGCTCATCTCCTTCCACTCTGCCGCTACAATCCGGAGTCAAAGGGCCCAGGTTTAAAATCGCGCTCTGCCATTTACTCCCAGTGAGAGCATTCACTTGCCTTCCCTTCTCTGGGCCTCAGTTTCCTCATCTTCAAAACGAAGGGCCTCTGAGATCCTTTTCTACTCCAAATCTCTGATCCTGTAATACCACAAGCCTGCCAGCACTTACCTGGGATGGGCAGCAGCTAGAGCAGAAAACTCATTGTCCCACTTAGGTCTCCCAAAGGAGGTTTTCTGTTTCAAACCCGTCACGACATCAGTGGATTTGTCAAAGTGCAATGCCGCATGACCAGCCTGGGGCCAGAGAGGGAGGCTGTTAGACTACTGAAGCGCATTCACTCCTGAGGCTAGGTCACTAAAGCTGGGGTGCGCTCTGCTCTTCACCCCCACCTATCTTGAATGGATCGAGGGGCTGGGGCTCAGTCCTCAGCCCAGGGCGTCACAAAGGGTAGCCTGAACAGATCTGTTCTCTCAATGAATTCAGCCCCCTGCCTGCACGCTCTGTGGAGGAAACCGTTCGTGAAGGCTCTATTTCCAATCAGTATGCCTCTCTCTAACATGGGAGGGAATACATTTACTACTCAAAATAGATGCTGGCAATGTACTCATCACTACAACAATGCAAATAAAAATAATTACAGAATAGAACTGAATGCTGGGTAATTGTCATGCATGAGCAGCCTGGGCCTTGAGCAAAGATGAGGGTATGCATCTAGCTCCTTTTGTTAGAGAGGTGGGGGACCACAGGGGTGGAATGTTGATGTCACATGCAATAACTGGTTGATTTTGCTTCCTTTTTGGTTTGTTACAAGGGAAGGCTCACAGGACTGGGAGTTGGGGGAGGAGAGGATACCTAACGTAAAAACAGGAGGCATCAATAAAAATTCAATTAAAAAGAATGTTGGGAACTCACGATGTTGCTGTCCCACCCGGTGAGGAAGAGCCTATAGTTTAAGAAACCCACTTTTCCACACTCTTCCATCTCTCGTTCCAGGGAAGCCAGCAGGTCATTGAACCAGGCAAAGGCACCCGTTTCCCTGCAGATCCAGTAGAAATAAATCTGGAACCCACAAGAGAGAACACAACCTTATCCTATGTGTACCTTGGTGAACGTGTTAGATATATCACCGAGAGGGCTGCTAAGGGCCAACTGGGCAAAGTCCAGCTTTCACTGCAGACTGCTTGACTTTCTAAGGAGTCCTGAAACAGCTTCCCATGGTGTTCAGAGAAACCTTCAATGATGTCTGGTTTAGAGATGAAGACTACCATGGCAATGATGCAGTTGACTCTGGTTCTCTGGTGGCTAGATGCCCACTTGCCAGGCTGCTGTGTATTTGCCCATTTCTTGGGTCTCAGCTACTTTCCAGACCATACCTGGGCGCTGGGGATTTCTGTTGTTCAAATGCCCTTAGAAGAGTCTGTCTGCTCCCCTGCTATCCTCACTTCCAATTACTTCCAAGGAAGCGGTCACTCTGCCAGCCACTGGCACAGTGCCTCGCACACACAGTGCTTAGTAATGCTGGTTAGCCCTGAAGTACTAACTGTTCACCCACAAGTCAGGCCCAGGGGACTGACCCTCACAGAAGGTCCAGGTTGGCAGCAGCCCATACCCTTGAGGGGTGATCAAAAAGTACAATTACCGTTTTGGTCTTGAGGGTGTGGTCTGCATGTCGAAACTTGTACCAAATGGATTTCAGGATGGAGGCAAAGGGCGTGACCCCAATTCCTGCTCCCACCAACATAGCCACTTCATACTGAAAAACATCCTCACTGGCTGTGCCGAAGGGACCATCTACTTCCAGCCTGGCAAGAGTAAAAAGAAAATGGCTCTCTTTTCCCCAAAGGTCTGAGGGCTCCCTTACTTGCTTTCTGCAGGTTTGTTTGTAGTAGAGCAGATGGCCTTGAATTTGAGAGACCCCTGAGGAGTTTTCTGGACTTGTTTGCCAGGCTACCCTTATCTTTGCCCATTTCTTGGATCTCGGCTGCTTTCTCGACCATACCTGGGCATTGGGGAATTCTGTTGTTCACATGCCCTTATAAGACTCTCTGTCCAGTCCCCTGCTGCCCGAATATGGATAGAGAAAAAAGGTTCCTCGGGTGCTGAGGTCAAGGTGAAAGGGTGCCACTCCCAGAAAGACACTGAGGGGCAATTGACAAAGATATACTGTCCCACTTCCATGCGGAAATCACTCTTGTTCATCTGAAGCTCCAGTACTCTGGAAGGGTGCAGGATGGCCTGGGAGAGAAGCACATGGACACCGTGAGTGTATTCACCCCACTACTCTGTCCCTGATTCTGTGCAGAACTAGAAGCACTGAGGCACGCCTAGCGCCCAGGATCTAGCTCCCTTCAAGACTGCCATCTCTCAGGGACAAAACATAAGGTAATTCCTTTAGGTAGGCGGAGAGGCCAGCCAGCACTCAGTGTCAAAGGAGGAGACAACCCTCCATCCCTTACCTTAGTAATCACCACCTTCTGCCGTGAGCGGTAAAACCGGATGAGCCGTTCAAAGATGTATAGGATGACTGGGGCTAGAACCCATTTCCAGGACTACATGGAGACAGGGGCAGAAGGCAGATTGTTACACACCGACTGGTAACTTGGTATCAATTCCCCAGCAGCCCAATGCTCCCCCTGTGAACCCCAACAACTAAGCAGAGCCCTGGTCCCTCCATTGAAGGAAAAGACAAGGAAAGAAACGCCAGCCATTTTCCTCACACATCTGTCACTCATAAAGCAGATAATTTCCTGCAGGTTTAACAGTCTGGCTGAATGGCAAAAAAGAA